TCCTTCCCCAGTGCATGCAAAAAGCCAAGGACAGGAAGCCGTGGATGGGTTGCAAAAAGGCTTCCACCAGTCGCTCCGTCAACATCAATCATCCGTGCTGCAAGAGCAGTTGCGACGGGAAGACCAGGGCAAAAAGACAGAAATTTTGGCCAATCTAGCAGGTTCAAAGGTACAAGATATGAGCCATATAGACAGGAACAACCTCACAATGAATCTGAGGGGAGATAGCCGTACAACGTTGCTCCCTCCAAGAGATGCATTGCTGCATGTGCCAAGGGTGACACCACCGGCGCCCATAAACCAGGGAGAACAACAAACACCAGATGCAGCGCAGAGCTATACACATGTAAGTATCCATATAGAAAAAAAACATAAGCACAATCCATACCATGGTGCTGTGACCACCCCATCTAACATTTTTGTTTGGTCACTGTTGTGTGCAGCCACCTGATATAGAAGCTTATGTTCTGCCAAGGCTAGAGATGAGGTTTGAAACTTTCAAAGAAACTAAGAACTTCTACAACGTATATGCAAAGCACGCTGGTTTTGCTGTCAGGGAAGGCCCCAAGTTTAAGACCAGAGCCTACCTTTATTGCACGTGCCATGGAGTTTATGAATCAAAGGTGTCTGAAGCAAATAGATAGCGTAACAAGACGACAACCAGAACTAACTGTGGGGCTAAAATGAGGCTGAAGAAGGAAAAAGATGGAACATTTGTCGTAAAGGAGATAGTCTGGGAACACAACCACAGGCTACAGCTCACCGCAGAAATGCTTGTCTTCTTGCACTCCCACAAAAACTTTGACAAAGCAATCTTGGAGTACGTCAAGTACCTGCAGTTCAAAGGCATTGAACACGCGCAAATCATGAGCATACTGGGCGGTGATGACCCTAGTAGCTACTTCCTCGAAATGAATGCCAAAGACCTGATTAACCTGTAAGTACAAACTTGTTCTCCTCCCATAAACCGTCTCCGTAATTTTTCCTCTGTCAGTACAAACATATCACGCAACGCATGACCTGACGCCAGTTTAACATGCATTTTTCAATGAACTTTTGATATGCAGGAAAGCAAAGAATTCAAGGATTGATGATGTGGATGATGTCCTAAAGACTTTCAACTTCTTTAGGGAGATGAAAGCTATAAACAGGGAATTTTTCTGTGACATGCAACTCGATGAGTCCGACAGAGTTAAGAACATATTCTGGGCGAACGCAAGCTGCCGAGGGGCGTATCAGGACTTCGGAGACTGCGTAACGTTTGACACAACATATAAGACCAACAAGTACCATATGCCACTTGGGGTGTTTGTCAGAACTAACAACCACTTACAGACTACATTCTTTGCTTTTGCCCTAATAAGAGATGAGGATGCAGATTCATTCAAGTTGCTGTTCAAGACATTTTTAACGTGCATGAGAAGGAAGGCTCCTACATGCATCCTCACAGGTACAACCGCTAAAACCACCCCTAACCACCACCCCCCTTCCAAAAACGAAAAGTAAAGTAACAAAAAAAATGTTTACTCAGTTCTATTGGTATATATGCACAACCATCTCTGCTGACCACTCAGAGTCTATTTTCTCATTACCATACCAGTGCCCGGCAATGGCTTTGGTGATCGCAGATGTTTTCAAGAACACAGTACATAAGCTATGCCGCTGGCACATTATGAAGAAGTACAGGGAACACCTTGCGTACCTGTATTTCCTGCACGAGGACCTTAAACATGAATTCACATCAATTCTCAACTGGTCCCTCATGCCAACTGAGTTTGAGGATGCCTGGAAAAGACTCAAGGATAAGTACAACCTCCATGATGATGCCACAATGGTGGGCATGTGGAACGAGCGTGAGAAGTGGATATCAGCCTACTTCAAAGAAATTTTCTGCGCCAAAATGACATCCACGCAGCTAAGTGAGAGCATGAACTATGTGCTCAAGAAGAACTACATAAATGAGAGACATAACCTACACAGGTTTGTCAGTCAGGTAAACTCATGCATCAAAACCAGGAGGCAGACAGAGAACCAGGAGACAATGGGTAACCGGGTATATCTCTATCACTTGTCGTAAGACATAAAAATAACATGCTTACGAAAGTAAAAGCTTTATTAGAAGTTTTTCCTGTGAGAAAACTAACAATATGATCATCATTCTTGCATCAGCAGAAGGAACAAAACACGCTGACCTACTATGGGTTTGACACCCAGATGGCAAAGCTGTACACACGATCTGTGTACAGCGAGATCAGAGATAGGCTGAAACTAAGCACGCTCTTCACGGCGACAGAGACAGAAGAGCCCACAAAGTACCTAGTGCGCTACAACCACCCGCAAAAACTGTCTGTGTGGGCTCAGCACGCGTTCCAGGTGGTGGCAGACCCCGTGGGAGAAACATATGAGTGCGAGTGCAGGCTATGGGACCACACAGGTGAGGAGCGCAAAAAAGATGTTACATACGGTACTACTTTTTTTGCAAAAGTTTTTGTTTGAATGAAATGACAAAAAACATGCACCTCTTCCAAAAACAAATACAGGTCTTTTCTACGTGCATGTCCTGTGCATGATGCAAACAATTAAGGCTGCCAACATTACAGAGAAATACATACTCAGGAGATACACCAAATGCCCGAACATCCAGCCAACATTTGACAGAAATGACTTGAGGACAGTAGCGTCGAACAAGGCATCCCAATACTGCATTGAAAGCTCACTGCTGACGCTGAACATGAGGGTGCACAGAAAAAGCTTGAGAAGCCAAGAGCAAGTGGCAAGGTCGCGGGTCGTCATTGACAAACTTGAACAAGAACTCGACGCCATGCATTCTGCTAAAAATGGAGGTGTCGCGGACAATGAAGCCATTGACCAGGATATTGCTACAATGTTATCCGAGATGAACCATCTGGGATCTATTGACCCGTTTGAGAACGAGGAAGAAGAGCAGCAACAACCGGAGCTTGCCCATGTGCACACTCAAGAGCGCCGACAAACTCACATGCGAGATCATGAGCTTGATAGTGTTGTAGGCGAACAACATGACAATAGCACATCCTACCAGCAGCAGCAGGAAAGGGTGATTAAACCCCCAATATTCTCAAACACAAAAGGGAGGAAGAGCAAGACGCAAGCAGCAGCCAAAAAGCCACCATGCCCCATCAAGCGCGTGGAATTTGGCCCGGACGGCAAACCCCTCGGGATAAGGGCATGCGGTTTCTGCAACGTCGTGAGCAACCATAACTACCGCACATGCCCACTCCGCACAGATGCCACTGTCAACAAGAACAACCAGATTGGAGCCACCCAGCTTTCTACAAATAGAGACAGCACACGTAACAGCTACACTTGCCGCAAGTGTGGGGGAACTGACTGACATAATGCCCGCACGTGCAAAGTGGGCAAGGAGGTCGGTGGAGCTGAACATAAACAGGGCAAGGTACAGAGTTCCAAGCAATCAAATGAAGATGATGAAGAGGAAGAGTTTGATGAGAATGATGGCCAATCAGACGAAGACAATGAAGATGACAGTGTCGGAGGCGAGGAAACTGAAACTGACGATGAAGCTGCCAAGGCTCAACCTGGAAAGAGCGCCGGCAAGGCACAACATTCAAGGACAGTTAGGAGAAGCTCAAGACTAAACAATACATAGTGGTTATCCTACTGCGTCAACTAAAAAATAACCTTGTAGTCTCATCGCCCCAGCACATAATGATGAAGTATTTCACAAACACTGTCGTTACCAAGACTTATTTAGCTTTAACGTCGATTAGTCTCGATCAGAACTAAAGTTATTTTTTAGTTTCTGATTTGTGCCCGCTGGAGCAGTCACAAAAATACGTTTGAAAAACTTATCTGTATATACCCGACACAAAACGATACTATGAACCAGTAACTCAGGTAAAATAATATGTGAGTGAAAAATTTAAAATCTTGTAGTACATCAGTACTGATAACTCTCAGACGTCAGTACAAGGCTGAGTACACATCAGTACTGATATAATTTCTGAGTTGTGCCCGCTGAAGCAGTGACATTATTATTTAAACCATTTGATAATCCTTTTGAATGCAGTCACAAATAAATTTGAAAAAAATTATCTGGATATATCTGATGCAAAACGCTACTGTCAGCCAGTAACTCAGCAACAAAAAAATGCCAAGGAAAAATATAAACTCTTGTAGTACATCAGTACTGATAAATCTCAGTCGGTAGTACAAAAGTCATAGTAAAACAAACACACCAGTTAACGACTCAATTAAAATCGTTTTGAAAAAACAAAGCTATGCCTGCTCCTGCCAGTCCCAATTTAGAAACACCATCAGTACATGAAAATAATTACCTCTAGCAAAATGCAAATATAATACATCCTGTACTGGTGAAAATCTAATTTATCTGTAAAAACTACTCATAGATTATCTTGATATAAACATCCTTTGAAAAAATACGAAAATTGTTTTAAAAAAACATTAGCACCACACATAGTGTCACTGGTATTTGGTACGTTCAATTACACTTCAATCACCAGTCCGAGTACGACAGTAGAGGAGTTCAGACCTCCATCAACACCGACGCTGACACGTGCAAGTGGGATAAGCAGCTGATAAGTACAGCTTGACTATACGAATCGGTGCCACAGTAAAATGCCATCATCACCGCCGCAGATACGTGCAAGTGGGATTTGGCAGGTCAAAAGTACAACTTGACAAGACTAGTCAGTTCAATAGTAAAAACCATTTCACATGGATGGTTAGTTCTTCCATGCCACCATCCGCGCCACCCACTGAGCGGTTGGCACAAGGGACTGCAAACAGTGACCCCACGCCACAACACCCACGACCCCGAACGAACCGCCTCAGGCAAAATCCCCGTCCACGCACTACACAAAATCCCATTCTATTCCACCTCTCCCTCGTTCCCACAGACCACCATTGCCGCTTCCATTTCCACTGAACACAAACCAAAAACTTCTCTCTCCAAAGCCCACAGTCACCGGAGGAAGGCCATGGCGGAGGAACCGTCCGCCAAGCGTCATCATGCCGAGACGTCGGACAAGAGGAGCAACCTCGTTGACATTAACGTCCCCGGCGAGAAGTGCGAGTACACAACAACCCTCAAAGGGGTTGAGCTCCACGGCAACGACACGCTGGAGATTGTCTGCACCAGCGTACCAGAAAAGGCCGACGAGGTGATCTCCAGGCTCTGGATGAAGCTTGGTGGCAGGGTTCGTAGGATCGTCGGCGTTGGTGTGCACTACACCAACAAAGATGAACCTCCCCAGAAGGCAGCAGTCCTGCAGTTGTGCGTCGACGAACTCTGCTTGGTGTACCACATCGCAGCGGCCACAAAATGGTGAGCAATCCTACTCATTTGCCCTGCATATGGTTTATCTATTTTATTGCTACTGTATCCTGAAAAATTAATCACACTTGCTTTCCCAACTAGATGTACTAGTGTGGTTTGTGAAAAGTGGATGCACTACTGCATTTTCTCAAGTAGATATACTATAAAATGTATTTATGAACCTGATGCAATGGATTACTATTTGGAAAATCTTGCGGAAGATTAAATTCTGAAGTTGATCGACTAGTGAAGTTTCTGAAGTTGATACAATAGAGTAGTCTATGTACTAGATGTATTAAAAAGGATGTTTCTGAACTTGATGTAGTGAAGTATTTTCTGAATTTGATCTAATGTTATTTTCGTAAGAAAATAAACTAAGGACTTGGTGAAGCACTGGTTTCTCTGTTATCCCGTTTCAACCAAAAAAGACTAAACTAGTGCCAATGCAGAACATACAACATTGACTGAAACTATGTATAATCCAAGAAGAAGAATAACATGATGTACTTAATTTAATTTCAGAACTTTCTTTACTAGTTTTTGAAGTACATTCATCCATTGTTTATCCTACATAAAAAACTACTTCATGGATTCATCGCTTGTAAAACAAAACAGAAATGAATAATTCAAAACATCAAAGTAATGGTAATATTCAAAAATGTTTCTGCCCTTGCAGGCCCAAGCGCTTGACCGAGATGCTGCAGCATGAAAAGTCGGTCACATTTGCCGGTTTCAGCATTGAAAGCGACAAAGAGAAGCTGAAGTTGTCTGGTATGGAGATCAACCCCAACAAGTTCATCGACATTCAGCGCAAGTGGAGAGCTCCATACACCGGAAAAGAGTACGACTCCTTGACTGATGTTGCAGCCAGCGTCATCCACCCATTCTACAAAGGCATGAAGAACAAGATCAACACGCAGGAAGACTACAAACTATGGGGGACCAGCAAGCTGCCAGGCAACCTCATCGAGTACGCGGGAGTAGATGCGTACACCGCATACAAATCATGGTTCAGGATCGACTACATCACAGACGGTTGGGAATATTTGAAAGAGCGGGAGGCTGAAAAGTTCTACGACCGCCCCTATTGCCCCTTTACTGGATGAAGATAACATCTGAGCCTGCCTTCGTTTTACTTCCGATTGTGCTTGCCTTTTATCTTGTTGTTTCAAATTAGTAGTTTGCTCTTGTTGGGTTGAACCAGTGTGATTATGTCATGCTTGTCATGTTTGAACAAGTTTAGTTATGTCATCAAGTACAATATTTTGCTTATCTCATTATATAAGTTTGGTTTGGTAGCTTCATATGTTGTTAATCCATCATTTCAAAAATTCAAAAAGTAGCTTCTGAATGGAACATTGTCGTTGCTCTAAAGTACTAGTTATGATGCAACTAATCACACAACGTTGTTCCGTGTCAGTACAACTCAGTACACTTGATCGGACAGTACATTCTTACTACAATAAAAAGTACAAAGAAGCATCAGTCCGTAAGCGCTACTATGAATGCACTATCAGTACAACTTAGTCTACACGCAAGTACCATAGTTCTGAAAATGACACCAGAAGACACTTGAGAATAATCACAAAAACGAACACAAAAAAGAAGGCAAAAAACTCAAATGAAAAAGATTACACTCACACAAAACTGACAAGAACTAGAACAAAAAGTATCAGTCCAAGTTACTCGTGGAGTCAAGTGCTAGATTCAAAACAAAAAAATGACCGCCCAAGGTCAGGCGTAGGCCCTGACAATGCTAGATACTTGAACTCGAGCCCGTGGGCGAATCCCTAGTAATCCGCACAACGCAGGACCCGCCGACCAGGGCCCACAGGTCAAGAGAGAGGGCGAGCGCCGTGTATAAGCACTCAGGTAAGTGTTCAGCGGAGTTCGACTGGTGAGCCTCCGCTGCACTTATAAACAGGTCTGGAGCCCCCTCGACTAGCGAGGTGGGACTAAACCCAGAGCGCACGCGCACGACGCACTACATAGCCGCGCGGACGAGCTATCTGGGCCGAAAAACGGCCCAATAGCCTACATCGTCAACAAAACACCCCACCAATAAGTCCAGGTATACAAACCAGATGGCGGGACAAAAAAAAATAAACTACAAGAAAAATGTTTGTCAATTAACCTGTACAAGAAAAACGGAAAAAATATGATACAAAAACAATGAACCTCTAAAAAAGAACAGAACTTAATAGCCTATCTGTTAAATGTAAATAATTTAAAAAACCGAATTAAATATTACTTTCAAGTTCAACTACTAAAACTCAAAAAGTTCAAAACATATAATGTTTGTCAATTATGCTAAATTTCTTATTTATATAATCTGACAAGTTCAACTACTAAAGCTCAAAAAGTTCAAGCGTATAATGTTTGTCAATTATGCTAAATATCTTATTTATAGAAAAACTGACAAGTTCAACTACTAAAAATCTAAAAGTACAAAACATATAATGTTTGTCAATTATGCTAAAATTTCCTATTTATATAAAATCTGATAAGTTCAACTACTAAAAACTATAAAAGTTCAAACATATAATGTTTGTCAATTATGCTAAATTTCCTATTTATATAAAACCTGACAAGTTCAAGTACTAAATTTCAAAAAGTTCAAATAGAATATATTTGTCAATTCTGCTAAATTTCTTATTTATATAAAATATGTCCACACCACAACGAACAATCTGGTCGTAAAATAATCTCAAACACCCAACCTAAGTTATAAAAAAAATCAGTTCAAAACATACATACGACAACAGTACTGAAACAGCAGGATCAGTCAGGCCGCTCGCACCACTGTGACATCAAATTTCAAACCCGTGTGTTGTATGAAATTACAATTCAGTTCACATAGTACTAAAACATAAGTGCACTAAAAATGAGAATACAAAAACTATAAAGGCCTAACCTAGGTTGGTACAGATGAAAATAAAATAAGTACAACTTTTGAGCAAGAACTCCTAGGGCACTAAAAAAAATGTTTTGACATAAACTAGTGTATAAAGACTTCAATAGAAAAACAATGCTTAAACATCCACACGGAAAAACATCACAGAGCCATACATCACCTAAGCAGTGCAAAAATGCCATCATCACCACCTCAGAGACGTGCAAGTGGGATTTAGCAGATTGTAAGTACAGCTTGACAAGACTAATCAGTGCAGTAGTAAAAAAAATTGTCTTAGATAGTTAGTTCTTCCAGGCCACCACCTGCGCCACCCACTGGGTGGTTGCCACGACGCACTGTAGAACGGCGACCCCCACGACCACTACACCCACGTCCCCGACGAACCGCCTCCAACACACCACCGTCGACGCACTGCAAAAAAACCCCATTGTCTTCCATCTCTGCCTCATTCATAGAACCACCATTGCCGCTTCCATCTACACTGCACACAAACCAAAAACTTCTCTCTCCCAAGCCCACAGTCGCAAGAGCAAGGCGATGGCGGAGGAACCGTCCGCCAAACGTCACCATGGCGACACTTCGAACAAGAGCAGCAACCTCGCCGACGTTCACGTCCCCGGGGAGAAGCACGAGTACACCAAAATGCTCAAAGGGGTTGAGCTCCACGGCAAAGAGACGCTGGAGATCGTATGCACCAGCGAACCAGACAAGGCCGACCAGATGATGAGCAGGCTCAGGATGAAGGGCGGCGGCTTGTATCCGAGCTTCATCGGAGTTGATGTGGAGTACACCGATGAGGAAAGACCTCCACAGATGGCGGCAGTCGTGCAGTTGTGCGTCGAGGAACTCTGCTTGGTGTACCACATCGACGGAGAAACAAAATGGTAACCCATACTACTGTCCATTCATCTGTTGTACCAGTACTAGTCACTAAAAACTTAATTAAAACTTGTTTCCCAACGATTATAGTCATCTGTTTGTACCAGTAGTTCATTGAATGCTATGAACTACTATAGTCTATGAAGTGGATGCACGATTACATGTTTCTCAAGTTACATGCATTTCTGGAACTGTGAACTGGATTGTTACACCAGATTAGCATCTGAAAAAAAGTTTATAGCATTCTGAACTTTATGCACCAAAATAATTTCTGAACTTGATGTACTAGCATAGTTTCTGATCTTGATGTACTAGTATAGTTTATAGAATTGATGTATTAGAAGATCTTTGGTGAAGTCTTATAGGTCCATATCTTGATGCACAAGTTTCTCAAAACTAAATTTTGAACTTGATATAGAACTAATGCACAAAGATGTATCAAGCACTGGTATAGGCCTTTTATTCAACAAAAAATAAAACTAAACTTGAATCAAGCAGCGCATGAATCATTGACTCTGGTAAAAAATGATTCTCTAATTTGGTGAAGCATTTGGTGAAGCAACGAAGATAGCAAAAAAGAAAAATATAACACGGTGTAGTTGAATTTAATTTCAGGACTTTTGTACTAGTTTTTGAACTACATTCATGCATGACTCATAATATATAAGCATCTACCTCATGGATTATCACTTGTAAAACAGAAAAAAAAAGCGGAAGAATTAAATACTCAAAAAGAAGACTAATCTTTAGAAAATGTGTGTCTCCCCCCTTGCAGGCCCAAGCGCCTCAAAGACTTCCTGCAGGAGGAGAAATTGTACACATTTGTTGGTTTCAGCATTGGAGGTGACAAGCAGAAGCTGGGGGAGTCTGGTTTGGAAATCAACCCCAACAACTTCATCGACATGCAGCGCAAGTGGAAAGATCCAAAGACCGACAAATACTACGACTCCTTGGCCGATGTTGCAGGCGGCGTCATCCACCCATTCTACGAACTGTGGGCGACCAGCTCGCTGCCAGACAACCTCATCACGTACGCAGGAATAGATGCATACACAACGTACAAGTCATGGAAGACAATCGACAACATCGTGACAGGTTGGGATATTTCAAAAGAGCAGGAGGCTGACCCCTACTACCACTGCAACTTCACGGATGAAGATGCATGAAAGTCTGCATTTGTTATGTTGAACCAGCTACAATGTGCTATGTGTGTCCTTAGTCTTGTTGTTTCAGATTTGTAGTTTGCTTTCGTTTTGTTGAACCAGCTACCTTATGCTATGTGTGTCAGGGTTTGAACAAGTTTGCCTATGTCTATTAAGTACACCGTTTGCTTATGTCATCCAACAAGTTTGCTAGCTTCCTATTTTGTTGAACCATCATTTGACATTGAACTAGGTTGAAGTTGAAACTTGATGGCTGCCATGCAGCACTAGTCATGGAGAAATAAAAATAACACATAAATATTTTCGCAAAAAAAACAGTGGCAGGCTAACTAAGGACAAAAGCAAATAGTAGCCTTGGACGCTCAGTACAACTTATACATGAACGGTAGTACTATCACACTAAAGAACCAGTTTTTAGTTTCAGAAGAACACTAAAAAGACTAAGTTTCGACCAAGGACAACATTCATTACTAAAAGCATCATGCTAAAATAGAAATTAGAAATTCACTAAGTACTGCAACAGGAAAAGCAAAGAACCATCAGTACATATTTCCTAGTAACTAGCATGCTAGGACTGAAACTTCTGGTACACTTGAACACACGGTACATTCATTCTACAAAATATAAAAAGGAACGGGAAGCTTCAGTTCGCATTCCCTAAAACTGCGACACACTAAAAATAACAGTAATAATACAACTGAAATCTCAGTACAACTAAGACTATACGGCAAGTGCTAGGATTATACCAAACATTGCCTGTAGAAGAACCACAGCCTAGAAAAAAAGAAGGCCAAAAGCTAAATCAAAAAGATATAATTTCGACAAAGGAGAAAAATCACAAGAAACACAGCAGGAAGACGTACTAGCCTCAAACAACACAAAACGTAAATAATTAATCAAAGTACTAGCACGATTGAAATCTCAGTACAACTTAGTTTATTCGGTAAGTGCTATGATGATGCCAATTAATGCCTTGAGAAAGAAGTAGTTTTGAACTTAATAGGGCTATCTCTTAAACGTAGCTAATTTAAACCAGTTCTTTAACTTGTACTGTGAAGTTCAACTGTTAAAGTTCAATAAGTTCAAACAAAAATTTGGCGCCAAATTTTAAAAGCCTTACGCTGAATGAGATTACAAATCAGTACTAACAGAACTATATCATAAGTACGAGAAAATGAGAGTACAGAAACTATAAAGGTCCAACTTAGGATCGAATCACATAAAAGTAAAATAAATCTCACTTTCTCAGCAACAACTCATACATACACTTGAAAAACCAGGTGTTTTCAGTTCAACTAGTATATAAGTCTTCAGTACAAAAAATAAAACTTAACCAAAATGAATTCCCGATGAAACATACACAAGTGAAACAGCTATTCAACCACACAATCATCATGGGAAAAAAGTTTGTTAAACATTGTGCCACCCTACAACACGAAATATACTAGTTATTACATAGTACTCGACAAGACATCAAACACTACAAAATAGAGCCTACAATGTTTTCAAGAGATATATCACACAAATATCCAATTCACTATGCAAATGATGACCATTTCTATTATGCATCAGGAGCCAAAGCCTGAAGCTCCTTGGGAAGCTCCATAACCATAAGCTGGTTATTCCGGTTGAACACAACTCTATACAGATCCTCAGCGTTCCAATCAACAACGCGTGGTTGCAAAACAATAAAACAAAATTATAAAAAATTATGACACATAAAAAAAGAATGCACAATAAGCCAAAAACAGAAATTGAAAAGCACAACAAGAAACCCACGTCATAATCTCGAATGTTCTCAACGATCTTTTCACCATCGTAGCATCCCGCATACTTCAGAGTATAATGGCCACATTCATTTTCCCCTTGAAGTGGAACCTTGACAAACGTTGGTTTCTTTGCAAATAGCTCCCAATTGGGCTGCTTGCTCGCATTGTACTGAGCATCACCATACACAGCCTTCATTACTTTGACCATTCTAGAAATCTGCAAAAAAAACAAAACAACCCACACAGTTTTAGGTTTCAGAAAAAAGAAAAAAAACAAAGATGCAGAAATATTAATCTAGTACAGATAATAAATGTCACTCACAATCTTCTCGCAGTCTTTGTGATAGGTGTTCTTTGAAGGACGGTGGTTCTTCGGATAAGGTAAAGAGTCAAGGATGTCAACGCTACTTCGGTACCGATTCATGACATATAAGGAATAGTGGTTCACTTTCCTATCCTTTGATAAAACCATAGGCTTGAATACAGGCATCATGATCTAAAAACAAATGACCAAAAAAGAGATGTTAAATATTCAAAATAAAAACCAGCATCACAACAAAAAAATAAAAACCAAAAAATCAACTAGTAGATCTCACAAGGTCGGCACTGAGCAAGTCTTCGTTAGCTTTAACATAGCTCTTGAAATCTCTCACTGCACTCTCCACATTAAACTCTTTATCTTCATCCTCGTAAAACGAACAGTCAAGCACAACCTGCAAAAAAGCCAAAATAGAAAATAGACAGCAGTAAAGGAACAACAAGAAAAAGTATTATTAAAACTCGTAAAAACAATAGGCAGTCTTGTTCAACAGAAAAGAAACTGATCTGATTGATTACCGAGATGAACTATGGACTCAGCAATATCCTTTTCCTAGATGCGAAATCAACATTTCTCTCAGGATCTTGCTTCCAATCATCAATGAGGAAGTCCATTATATCACCCTCCATCATTTGCCCAGGTGAAAAACTTCCCAGATGCGATTCCCAGTGAAGTCAGTTACGTTTCCATCAGGCTGGGGTATCATTGAGAATGTATTCCTGCAGCACACACAAGAACAAAAAGAAGCAGAAGCAAGACAAGGCATTCATAGCAGTTCGAGTTGTATAAAAAGGAACAGTTCAGGTCGTATTTACATAGCAGTTACAAACAACAAAAGAAAAAGAGGAGGAAAAATAATGAGAGATACTCATTCGGCATACTTCTCACGCCATTCATCACTAAGCAACAGCTTATACAACCTGCGAGCCTTGTCCAGGTGAGGGAATTTATGAGGGTGAAGCTGCTGCACAGGGGAGCAAAACTTTATAGGAGCTCTAGGCGCACACTTCGTGCTTACAACATTGCCAGATTCCAAAGCAGGATCTTTCCTAGCACCACCAGCTCTACGAGCCACTATTCCAGCAAGGGGAGATAAACCTTTGGCAGCAGCACTCCTCGTGACTCTTCCAACGCCAGCAATCTTGTCAACCACATCATCATCGCTGTCTATCAATTCAACAATGGGATTCTTGGGTGTAGTAGGGCTCTTTGCACAAGCAGCCGTAGAACTTCTCAGAGCTCCCAACCGCCCCTTCATAACACCAGATCTTGTCTTTTCTGGAGACGCCCCTGGCTAAGATCAATAGCTACGCGCTCGAGCTCCGAGAACTGGCTACCAAAGAACCTGTAGTCATGCTCACCAAGATCCAACCACTCACCTGAAAAAAAATAAAAAAAGAGTCCACACAAAGCGTAAGTTCAAATACATATTTCATGACAGTACTGAACAGAGAAGTACAAACTGCACAAGAAATACTAAAGTCCATGCACACGTACAGGGTTCGATGCCAAACAAACCCCTGAAGTCAACATCAAACACATCACTAGTTGCGCAGGTGTACAGCAAAGTCTTCCTAATGTCCAGAATGTCTTCATAGCTGTAATCGACCATTTCAATTACACCATCCTCCCGGCAATAATAGGTCTTGCAGTTTTGTAGCATAAAGAATCCACAATCATGCATGTAGAACAAAGGAAGAAACAAAAAAATGGTACAACACAAAATCCGAAAAATACAGGAACAACATCCACCCAGCAACAAAAAGAACCACCAAAAATCATTAAAAAACAGATACTCACGTGTTTTCCTGCTGAGGCACCCGCACAAACTCACAAGAGAAACCATCAATATGCAGCGGTGAGAATGGTTTGGCCCTGTCTACACTGGACTCCCTCCAAAGCTTCTTTATATTATCTGCCATATTCCTTAACAATCTAAGTGCATCACCCGAGGTTTCATCACGGAGTGAATCAAGACACTCGAAATGACGGAACCTCAAATTCAGAACAACCAAGCACCAATGCCCAGATTGTCGCTAGGCTTCATGGTAGGCACAAATGACGGCGGATCAAATGTAGGCAAAAGAAGCTAGAAAAAAAATCGCAGAGGAAAAATGAATTTACCAAAGTCATAATGAAACAAAAAATTCAGCCTCTAATCAATAAAATAAAAGATGGAAATTAAAATTAAGAAGTACAAACAAAAAATCACACAATCATAATGAAATTATATCCACCGCCCAAAAATGAGGAACAATCATATCAGTTCAGTTTCCTTGCAACAATAAGTGCATCTTTAATAAAAAGCATGGATCATTCATAAGTACAGGTGTAAAAAGCAGGCTAATCAAGTTCATTCCCACACCTCCCTAAACTGAAAATAAAAACATGACAGTTCTAGTTAATTAGTGCAAAAAGTCCAACTTCACCTACTTGATCGAAACCATCAGCACCTGATCTCGTGAACCAATTTAACACATTGGAATCAATATTTCCATCACGGGTCTTGGTCTGTTGTACAAAAAGAACAACAACAGTTAGAAAATTGGCAAAACAAGTTATCATCCTATTTACAAAAAAAAATACTGACCGTCACCCATCTGGGAACTATCAACTTGTCAGTGTCTCGGTACTTCTCACGTAGAGAATATAAAACAACATCAGCACTGTCTGAGTTGAGCATGCCAGTGGGGACAAACGCTTTAGCAATAGAACCAACACTGTCATCACATTCTTTATTTTGAAACATCGGCTTGTGACTAGAAAAACACAAAAAATTACATGAATTAAGACTACTGCAACAACAATAAAAATCATAAGAGAGAAAAAAAACAGACAAAAATGTTACGGGCAAAATCCCAAACTAACCATTTAGTACGGTTCGTGCGCAACCTCGTAACAACGAAGAAAAATGTATCAACCTTGACAACATTATCACTTTCTGCTTGCAGAAAAAATGATGAAAAATAATAAGTTCAACAACTACAAGAGAACATGTCCAAAATGAAATTTTGAGAAGTACGCCCAATTTACAAGTGCTTACC